GATGACAGAGTACAATCAGGAACAACTACAACGTAGCTGGTAGTGAAAACTATCATCCATTAAATTGCCTGGAGAAAGTATACATTAGAATGAAAAACAAAGGAATCATTGGTAAAACCTAAGGAAACATCATGTATTTGATAAAGGAAAAAGAATGGAACTAAATGAAAATGAGTGTCCCTATAAGTAGGACAAAAGTGAAATAAGTGGGAACCTAAAAGAGCAGTGAATATCAGATGGTTACATCGGGGGCTACAAATCAAGTTAGAAAAAGGGGAGAAAGGCGCAAAAAAGCCTAATACATTTCTAATAAGATAAAGGCTAGTAATGTTTTAAGCCCAGAATGAGCCAGGGTAGCACTGTGTAGTTTGAGCTGGCCTTGAATTCTCCATTTTCTTGCTCATCCTCCCAGCGTGCGGAGATTGTAGACATTCACCACTCTGCCCTGCTAACACTATTATTTCTAACATGAATATGTTACCACAGTTCTCAGGCACTATTCCTATGGGAGATTTTTCTTGAGGAAAATTTATCTTTAATATCTTGAGAATTTTGTTGGCTGCTATCTTGTTTCTTAAATTCCACCAGTATTATCATTAGGAAATGTTTTATTATAAATTAAGTAGTGAGCTTAATGGAGAGATAGAGCTAGTACATCTTCTTCATGCATTCCCATTACTTTGAATAATTTCTGGTCGAAAGTGACTGATAACCAATATTCATTAAATAAATCAACTATCTAAAAATATTATTAATTGGCAATAATACTTATGGACAAGCTCTATTGGGCCATTAATCAGTATTATTTGGCACAATATTTACACACTAAAAATAAATACATTTCATTATTTAATTTCAGTACATAATGCAAATTGTCCTACATTATTATAATTTTTAAAAATTAAATGATGTGTTTAATGCTAACAGCTAAGTATTGCTGTAACTTCTTTCCAGTTTGTGTGAAGTTTGAGCAAGAGACACAGACTGATCCATAAAACATAAGTTAAACATTCAAAACTTTGAATTCAATTTGAAATATGGAATTTTAAATTTAGTTTCCATTAGGGAACACAGTTCAGTAATGCTCTAGAAATGAAACAATCAAAAATGATAATAAAGTGAATATTTCACTTTGATAACAAAGTGATAGGCTTACTGTTTCATTTATGATCCAGGATGATTATACAGTGCCCAATAAGAATGTAGTAGATAAAATTCAATAGAACACATATAAAACATCTAGAGCTACACTAAAGAGCCAAATCTTAAGTGTGAATACACAGATGTTGTTCTTCTGTTGTTTTTTTTTTTCTTTTTCAAATGCTCTTTGAAAGTAAAACGTGAAAGGTCAACCCGCCAATCACAGATGCACATCTATTACCAAAAATAGAGACTATTCTAAAACAGAACTGAACTCAATCACCCCCTGTCTCCATCCAAAAAATAAATAAATAAATGAAAAGAAGTACCAGAAACTTAGAACTGTTTTCATCTCTTCAATATTGGAAATAAATATACTGAAATATTTTCTGATTCTAGTATCTTATACTATTTCTAACTTTTACAAACTCTAGAAGTTCTATCAAGGATGTATCTATCCTCATGACACTAAGTCTTCAGAGGAAAACATTTGCAAAATTCATTCATTTGCAAAATTTCACAGGTATGTATATCCCTCTTTTATTGTTTGTAAATATCATTCACTGGCATCAGCATAATAATCCCTCCTTCCTTCCTGATACCACTTTCTCTAAAACAGGTTTCCATGACAACATATATTTGAATTTTTATAAATTTCTGTATTTGAGTACTATTCTTAAGGATAAGAATTCATAGCCATAAAATATAAACTTATTTGGCAAATTAACTTGAATAATGTAGGTTTCTCAAATATGTACTTACACCATAAATTAAAAACCATAGATGCCAACCACCAAAGTACAAAAACATAGTGTTGTAAGATTCAATTAACAAGTTCCTATCACTACTGCTTTAGGTCTTAAAGTTAGAAATAATATACGTGTACTTCATAATTGTACCAATCTCCTCAACGTTGGGAAAGGGTAAAGAAAATGAATAAAGTACAAATAACAAATTGAAAAAGAAATTTAGACATTTAAAATTATTCATTCAACTATTTCATTAAATTATAAGCTAATGTAAAAAAGAGTTTATAGAAGTATAACTTCTATTAAGAATGAAACTTGTAGCAGGGGCTGGGGATTTAGCTCAGCGGCAAAAGCGCCTGCCTGGCAGGCGCAAGGTCGTGAGGTCGGTTCCCGGTACCGGAGAAAAACAAAAAAACAAAACAGAAAAAAAAAAAAGAAACTTGTAGCAATAGCAACACAAATGAACCAAACCACTTGGTAATTGAGTTCTGTTTTTTATATTCATAGCCATACAAAACCTAGTTTCATCCTGTGGCATCCCAGTGGAATTCTATTTATCAAATTAATCAAGTAATATTAAGTCATCCCATTATCTGCACTGAAAGATTTTTATATAAAAATATTATATAATTCACTTTTAAATAAAACCATATCTTCTGATTTAGGCAACCTATCATGATTTAAAAAGTAATTTTCCTAAAGAAAACCCACAAAAGAAAGCAAATTATTAAATACTGATTGGTCAATAAAAATGGAAAGTTTAAACAGGAGCCCTTTTAAGAAGTCAAATCAAGTCTTATGCTTTAATTCTATTGTTGGGTAGCACAAGGTTAAAATTCTACCAGCCAAAATCCTAAAATATGTATATTTTAAAGAGTCATAAATGACCTTTCAAAATTAGCACTCTAGTAAATGTCTTAATTAGGCATTAAATTTCAAAAGCAACATGATCTGCAGAGATTTCACAATGCAATCGATTATAATCAGTGGTTTTGGTGGAAAGGCCTGGAAAAGGGTGTCATGAGACCTCTAGAATAATTTTGGCTCTACTCTCAACGTGACGTCTGACCTTGGCCATCACTTATCATCTGAGTGTCCATCTTGCTCATTTACAACATACAAGGTCTTAACTAGGTTTTCAAGGTCCGTGATCCCTGTTTTTGCTTCTACTTGTTCTTTGACCTTGTGTTACTCTCCAATCTGTGTTCTTTTCTCATATAAAATAAATGCATGTCAAATCCTTAATATAATCACAATAAAATCTAGGTAACATTTAAAGCAAAAGCAATTTTAAAGGCAGTGATCTATTCTTTGGGTCAGTAATCAATGGAATCAAATTCCATGGCAAGGGGCTGGGGATTTAGCTCAGTGGCAAAGAGCCTGCCTGGCAAGCGCAAGGTCATGAGTTTAATTCCTGGTACCAGAAGAAAAACAAAACAAAACAAAAAACAAACAAACAAGTTCCATGGCAATGATAAAAGTTAAACTGCCTTAAATATTTTGCTACGTAACCTAGCTCACAGTAAAATTTAACATAAAACATGAAGGTATCATAGAGCATTACCATGAGCCAGGATAATACACATTTTGTCTTTTTTGTAACAAACAATCTGAACCTATAATGAACCTAAAAACAAATCTAGTTAATCTTTTCAGCATCAAGTGGAAAAAGTACTATGGCACCCAGCTGGAAAGCAAGAAACACAGACGTAATGGTCATAAGACTATGATTTCATTTAAATAAATGCACTTTTTTTCTGATTGCAAACTCCTTTTGGACTTACAGAATGATCTTAAAAGAAAGACTTCAAAACTGAAGTTTATTGATCCTGTCTTTAAATACATAAATGTAGGCATGCTAGAATTTGCACACATTCAAATGCCTGATCCAAGAAAGTAGCAATGTTGCCTTGTCTGCTTCTCACTGAAAACAAATTTTCAGACTCCAAAGTGATATCAGGAGCGACACTTCTGATTAGTTAGGAGATAGCCAACTGCATAATATCTAAGAGGCAAGAATTTCTGATATGCATAAAAGACAGTAATGAGGACGGATTTAAAGTAAAGCTGAATGAATTGCCATTCTCCCCAGCGGGTGGTGTCTCTTCTGGGTGGCGGAGCTAACCAGACACATGGAGTCACAAAGATTTCACTAAATACAGTACTTGGTTCTCATATATAATTAAAAACCATGCTCATACTGTATAATTTTTCATTATTTGTATTTCTTTTAAACTGAAGGAAGCATTATTGGTTACTTTTATAGTCCCTTCATGGAATAATGAATAATTAATTGGGAGTGTCAAGGACTAAATTTAAGCTGTTAGATACGGTAGAAACCAAAATGAAAAACTGAGGCTGGGGTCACAGTACAAAAAGTAAAATAAAGTTTGCTGTAAAATAATTACTCAGATTTGGAGAATTAGGAACCTGTAAGAAACATAGATTCAGCCCAAGGGGAAAGGAAACTGGAAACTTTAGGGTGCAGCCGGGCTCTCAGGGGTCAGCTTACTGAGGCAAGCAACCTCAATACCTACCCTGCTCCCCTGGAAAGAGATAGGCCACACCGAGAGTTCTGTTCACAAAGTGGACCTTCGGGCACAGCGCCCTGCACACGTGACTCCTCTTCCCTTCCCCGTTCCCTCCCATTTGACCTCTAATTGGAGCCTCTGCCTGGGTGAGCCAGATGTGGGGAGAGTCCAGGCCTCAGTGCAAATGTCATGTCAGGATGACCAAGAGGCATCCAAGCTACAGGAAAAAGTTGGAACAAAAAAGTAAAGAAAAAATTCAAAATGAAGGTGATAGTGGTCTCAGGACAAGGTCCCAGACTTGCACAGAGAAGGTGACATTTGCTCCGCAGGTCCCATCTGCCAAAGTGAATCTCAGTTTGAGATGGAAGGTCAGGAGCGGGAGAATTGGAAGGGAGGAGGATGAGGGCCCGGGACCCCGGGTTTACCCCGCCCCAGATGAACCTGGAAACTCATCTTTAGGGCGCATCTGCGGTCTTCGCCCTCTCCCCTTCATCCCGGAGCCCTTGGTGGAAAAGAACTAAAGTTGGAAAAGGAGCTGGGAGAAGTTGGAGGAGCAGGGAAGGGTCGATTCTGGTCTTACCCTGGCGGCTCTGGATGAGTAGGGGTCCTCGAAGAGGGCCCACATGCGGGGCTGCAGCCTCCTCCAGCGGCCAGACTTGCCGTCGGGCCCCCCTAGCCCGGCCGCGTCCTCGATGCCCAGCCGCTTGGCCGCCAGGTCCTCGTCGTCGCCGGGGTCGCCGCCCGCGATGAGGTCGGGGGTCTCGAAGATGTCCAGGGCCTCCTCGGCGTCGCGGTGCTGCCGGTAGGTCATCCAGCAGCAGGGCTCCACGTCGGTCTCGTCGATGCCCCAGAAGGCCAGCTCCTCCTCGAAGAGCGGCCCGCACACGTCGGCGGGGCAGTGCAGCTTGCCGGTGCGGTAGTAGTTGAGCACGTAGGCGAAGACGCCCGGGTGCCGGTCGAAGAAGAACTCGCGGCCGCCCCCGGGGTGGGAGCTGC